AAAACGTGGTAGAAAAGTTACCTTGCAAGCTGTAAACCTAATACAGACGCATAAGTAACCCTAAGGAGACCATGTATCCAAATGTCACTATTGTTTTCTAGTGGAACTTAGGTGTACTCTCCAGCTACAGCCTGAAACTTTACTCTAAATTCTCATTTTATCATATCTTCAATTATGAAGACGCTGTATCAACTTTCTTAAATTACAAATATTTTCTTAATGCACTTAATGCCTCATTTTGGCTAATGTTAGTCTCTTTAGGCTGTGTTTTGCTTTATATCATCAGCATTGTTCTAAGAAAAATGTCACTTTCAGTGCCTTTAATAATAGGAAATGATCTGTCATGATTTTTAAAATGGAAATGAGAGGGGGGAAAAAACACCTACATTCAGTTCAAATGTTTTCCTTTTGGTTTGTTTAAATTTGGTAAATTTTCTAAAATCTCATAAAATATAGGATTGGTGAAGGTCCTTTCCCAGTCTGTAGGCTGTTGTTTTGTTCTGACTACAGTGTCCTTTGCTATATAGAAGCTTTTCACTTTAAGAAGGAGGACCTCGGGTAAGATGATCAATCCTCACTTAGAAAGACAAATGGAATGGACATTGGAAGCAGGAGAAAACAAGTAACAGGACAGAAGCCTACCACAGAGGACCTCTGAAAGACTCCACTTAGCAGTGTATCAAAGCAGATGCTGAGACTCATAACCAAACCTTCGGCAGAGCGCAGGGAATCATATGAAAGAAGGGGAGTTAGTAAGACCTGGAGAGAACAGGAGCTCCACAAGGACCAAATATATCAGGGCACAGGGGTCTTCTATGAAACTGTTTATCCAACCAAGGACCATGTATGGATATATCCTAGAACCCCTGCTCGGATGTAGCCCATGGTAGCTCAGTATCCAAGTAAGTTTCCCTAGTACCTGGAATAAGGACTATTTCTGACATTAACTCAATGTGTGGCTCTTTGACCTCCTCCTCCCACCCTCCGAGGAAGGAGCAGCCTTGCTAGGCTACAGAGGAGGACTTTGTAGCCAGTCCTGAGGATACCCGATAAGATAGGGTCAGATGGAAGGAGAGGAGGATCTCCCCTATCAGTGGACTTGGAAAGGGGCAGGGAGGGGATAAGGGAGGGAGGGTGGGATTGGGAGGGAATGAAGGAGGGGGCTACAGCTGGGATACAAAGTAAATAACCTGTGATAAATATAAAAAATAAAAATTATAAACAATAATATACATTTCTTTACAAAAAAAAAGATTTTATGAGGTTAGATCTCATTCTATAAGTTCTTTTCTGTTCATTTGAAACAATTTCATTGCCTTTATTTCCAAAGTATAAAGGCCTATCTCGACCCTGTTTATGAGGTCATAAGCTCCTGGGGGTGGGTAGGCACTCAGTGAAGGACCATCACTGGTATAAATAGGTCTTTAAAGCTCCTTTAAAGACTCATCAGGACATTTCTGTCCATTATATGACCATAACAAATCTCCTGTCCCCATCCATCATTACCTGCTATGTCTCCATTTCCTTTTGGTGCTTTCATTAATGGCATGGGCTAAAATTCAGATGAAGGAGATAAGGGGAAATGATAAAATTCTATAAAGCTATATAAAAATATTTTTATACTTTATCCCTCAGAAGTAAAACTTTCCTTGACAAATGTATAAATTCTCCCCATTCTCTTCCTCTCTTCTGTATATTTAAGGATTAACATTAAAGGCAAAATTTTAGCAAATTAGATTTTATCTTCACTAGTCCTTTAACTCAAACTTGTCTGTTAACATTATTTTCATTGGGCCTCAAGTTCTGTAATTCTATATTCTGAGTAATACAGCAACCTTCCTTGCTATTTCTACCTAATTACCAGCAAGAATTCTGAACTAGAGTAATGAAATAGGTGGTGGCTAAAACTCTTGATTGAGTTCATTGGAAATATGGACTAAATAAGGCACTTTAATTAGTATCAGACAGAAGGATGAATTGATCTCCAACAAAGCACAAACTGTTGAGGCAATAAAAATTTTGAGGACGTGTCTGAGGCATAATTTAGAAAGATTATGGAAGAGACAAGTCTCACTCCTGCTGTGGAGGACGTGTTTGGGTGGAAGTGTCTGCACTGGGAAGCTGCAGTTGGTCAGCTTGCAGGCAGTGTTTGTTAGGTGACTGGCCCCTGGGAAGCAGCTGTCCATTCAAACCTTTCAGTCCATTTTGAAAGTTACTCAGTGTTCACAGAAAACCACAGGGCTATTTTGGTCAATTTTCTTTGTGAAGAGTAAATTCATAATAGTAGTAAACTTACAGTTACAAAGTAGCAACAAACTAATTTTATGACGGGGGGGTCACTGTAACATGAGGAACTGTCTTAATGGGTCTCAGCATTAGGAAGGTTGAGAAGCACTGGCATAGAACAATGAAGGTGATACTGGGAAGCTTCCTTCCTCCTGCTTAGCTTGGTCAGGAGGTGCTATGGAGGCTTCTGTGGGAGAAGAGCCCCGACCTTGCTGTGAACCTTGAATGCTACCACAATGGCCAGACTGGCAATGTATGCCCACTGATATAACAGTGGCATGCCTTTTACCAACCACTTTCTGTAGGTTGCCCGTATTCCAACAGTGCATGGCTCCATACCCACACAAGCAGTCAGGCCATAATAACTAGCTGGTAAACAAAAACAAAAAAACTAGACAACAATAACAAGAATATGCATCTGGAAGAGAACACGATAGGACGCAAGAGCATATTTAATTGCACACATATACGAAGCTCTCAAATAATAAACCGATACTTAAAAATTTAAAGAACTCTTTAAACTTGACCCCTATGAGACAGAAAGCTCAATTTAAACAGGAGCAAAGAGAATTAACAGATGATTGGATTGTGGGACTGCCCATGCACACACACACACACAAACAAACACACTATTTTTGCATGTGTACACAGTGAAAATTAAGTATCACTGCTAGTGAAAACAAAAATGGTGCAGATAGTGAATAACAAAGTTTGGTTACTCTCTAAAGGGCTAAATACAAAATTATCACATGCCTGGAAATTGTATATCTAAGCATTTAACTCAAATCATTAAAGATGGGGATTTGAACAGACACTTGTATCCAGCATTTTACACAACACACTGAAGTTGTAAACAATTCCAGCATCGATTAGCAAAAAATGAACAGATGGGCAAGGTATGTATGTGGAAATACACACACACACACACACACACACACACACACACACACACACACACTAATACATTATCTGATACCCGCCATAAGATGCAAACACTATGCGCTATAAAAGATCCTCTGCCAGCCAGGCGTGGTGCCACATGCTTATATTCCCAGCACTTGGGAAGGCAGAGGCAGGTAGAGCTCTGCGAGTTTGAGGCCAGCCTTGTCTACAAACCCCAGGACAGCCAAGACTACACAGACAAACCCTATCTTGATAAACTAAAAAAAAAAAAAAAAGGGGGGGGGAGGGTTCTTCCAAAGAACACATATTATACTATTCTGTTCACATGAAATGTCCAGAACAAAGTGAAGACAGATAGTATATCAGTCATTGTTTAGATCTGAGATAAGTGGATGTTGGCAGCTAATATTACAGAGCTCCTTTGTGAGGTGGCAGATGTACCCCAGATGACAGTGGTGAGGACCACACAGCTGATTATATTACTACACAGTGATTACATTAGCTTCAAATATTTACTGCAGCTAAGTCATAAGCAAGTTCCATCAACTTAAATAAATCCTCAGTGAGTACTAAGGTATAAGACTAAATTGGTTGTGATTTTTACCCTATTTTTTTAAAGGACACACACAATACAAAAAAAATTAACAGATAAGGAACATGTTAGTCCAAAAATTAAAGAGATGATCCAGAAAATACCTATTTCTCTCTGAGTTAATTATCTGAAGTCAAGGTTCATTCTCAAGCAGTAATAGCTGAGATTCCCAGGGACCAGAATCTAGCTACAGAAGAAAAGAAGGAAGAGTGCAGAGAAGCTTGATGTGGTTTTGGGACCTCATGAAATGCAGGGCAGAGGAACAAGAGGAGAGCAGGAACAGAGTGGGATGTGGCCCCAGAGAGAAGGAAAGGCTGGGTAGTGGCAGGCCAGGGCTTGGGAGGGTAAAGAGTTTAAATTGCGGCTTCTGGACTCCACGCTACTGTTTTGAATCTGCTTTTAACACTTAATCCTCCATATCTTGTCAAAGTGCCTGCTTCAAAGCAATATGATTCTTGTTCATTTCACCTTCAGGACCTAACCAGTACTGGCCAGATCTCAGGAGAAGTTTCCTCAGTGATCAAGATATACAATGACAGCATGCAAGAAAGAAAAACAAGATGTATTCCACATGTGGGGTTCAAATGACCATCTGACTCCTTCAGGCCAGACAGGCAATTATTATCAGAGACGGTGAAGCTTCCCAAAGTTAAATCACGTAAGCAGAATATCTTCGCAGTTTCACTAACGTCACTTTCAAAGGGTGAAACAAGGTAAGCTTCATCATTTCTGATAAATAATGAGTGTGGTATTACACGTTAACTGTTTACTCGCTGGAACATCCCAAGCTTCTGTGTCCAACGTTTCCTACCTTTGTATCCCGTAGAACCACAGGAAAGTGGAAGCTACTACAGAACTGCAGTAATCTCCACAGGTTCCCACAACTCATTCATTCCTTACTATGACTCGGAAACAAACAGGTTCTGCCCAGTGGTCAGAGCCACATCCGCATCACTCCCACAGGTGGTGGTGGTAGGGACAGGGTAGGAGCTGGGAGAGGAGACATGGAAGGGGCTGGAAGGAAGGGAGGGAATGACATACTTATATGTTAGCTATAAATATATAGCATAAGAAAAGACACGCACATAGCGATCCTAACACGGTGAGACAAAGCTAGCCAAATGGTTACAGTTCCTAGGTATAATACTGTATGACTGTGCATATAACAAGATATATCTCTTTGGCTGAAATAAAATGTATTTTTCCCCAAGTAACTTACTGTGGCCTTGAAGCTTCAGCCTGGTCCGTCTGGAGTTTCTCTCCTCCTTCCACCTCCATTGTACAGTAGACAATTCGATTGGGAGCCACTGACTTCAAGCCTTGCACTTCCATTATGACAATCTAAAGATAAAACAATTTGATATTAATATGTAAAGTCATTAGTGTTCAGCAATATAGAGAAACAACCACATGAATAGTTAGCTAGGGGTTCATGAGATGCCATGCTTACTCCTAGCTAAAAGTCTATTGGCAGTCGATGGCTTCTGGGAAAGGGAAAGCCAACCTTCTTCAGTGGTGTGATTCCTGCCATGTTGGCCGTGCTCCAGTGGACGACTTCACACCCACATCCTTTCGGGTCACACTGATTTTAGACTCAGTGGAAGATTACACACACACACACACACACACACACACACACACACACACACACATACATATCCTAACACATATGAGAGAGTTGGAAATTAGGAGGCTGAAGGAAAGGGTATATGGAATGAGTTGGAGGAGGGACATTGAAGGGCCTATATAATCAAAATACATTATCCACATGTATGAAATTCTCAAAGATAAATCACAAATTTTAAGAGAATCATTCAGGAGGAGGAAAGCAGCTGGTGAACTTATCTAGTGCCAGCACTAGGATATCTGCTACATCTAAACAAAACAATATACCCCTACAGGTCTAATTTCCAAGGAGGGGGACAAAAACAGCCTCAAACATTAGTGAGAGAGAGCCAACAACCACAGGTCACCAGCTAACTGAACTGTAGCTATTTCAATTGATTCCCAACAAAAGCTGATCGCTGAACTACAGCAGATAAAACTGAGCTGTGCTGAATGCTGTATCATCTTTCCTCAGTCTCTCTTCACTGCTTGTATTCCCTTCTTTAGACATTATATTGCTAACTCAGTAGCTCAGGCTAGCATACTGGCAACAAAGCACAGAATGGCAAGGCAACGAGAAGAAAACAGACAAAGCTGTCCTACAGGCTAAAGGAAGGGAGGCAAGAGACAGCATGTGTCTGAGCAACACATACCCACAAGGTTTCACGACATTTAAACACACAGGTTACATGACATTTAAACACACAACTGAGTAAGTATGGTAGGACACGGTCATGTACCCACAGACCCACAGGCAAGCACAAGATCCGCTAGCCTAAAGTCAGTGTGAAAGCTCAGTGGGAAATGTAACCAGATTCAAGCCACAGGTCTACCACACAGCTGACAGACCCCTGTATTGTCAAACTTTTACTTTTCCTGTTTAGCTTGATTTTAAACTTTCCATGGCTTGTTCCATGTTAGCTTATGATCTCATTTATCATTCCTTCTAAGGGCGCTGTGCACAGAACATGTGCAAATGAAGTCCTGTATGTCTAACTTCCTTTGATATCATAAACTTCCTTAGTTCACTCAATATACACTGAACGAACCAGGAGCAGACTGGTTGGATGCTTTCCACACATCAGTAAACAGAAAATGAGAGGGGAAAGAAAAAGGTGTCTTTTCTGTCACTCACATATCAGTAGCAGAAGTCAGACACTAATGGTATAATAAGCCACTGAGCCATGCCGGCAGTATGGCTGTGCTGAAAGGGAGCTTGGTAAAGCGAAGGAACAGTGAGGAAAGGGGAGTGAGAGCCATGCACTCAAGAGAAGGAACAGCTTGAGCAAAGCTTTTCAAATCTGTATTTTACTTCTTGAATCCTAGACTCACTTCTTGGTTAGGACCCATCTTACACTGGACCAGTGCTTAGCCTAGAAGCGTGAGAGCCGGATGTTGCATTTTCTGCTGGCTTTTAAGAGTTTCCATAGTTGAAATGAGAATCCAAGGAAGCAGCCTTGCTTAATGGGCCTGGCTGGTGGCACAGCCTACGGCTGGAGACTTAGCCACCCATCCCTCAGCTGTTCTGCACCAACCTCATTTAACGTGAATTCATTGTGCTGCCGGATGCATCACTCATTTGTGACATGCTGCGGGCACAGAAGGCAGACTTGTATTAAGCTATGGGCAGAAAATATCTGCCTCAGAAAGACATGGCAATAAAGACTGCCAAAACAATTTCATAAATGTGCATGCTTCTCAGACCACATAAAAGGAAGTTTCAGCTTGCATTCTCTTCTTCAGCTTACACAGCTCGCCTGACAGTTCAATCTAGCATATTGGCTACACAGCACAGAATAGCAATTCAGACACTAGCCTAATCTTGACTTTGAAAGGAAAAACAGTTATCCCAAGTTACTTAAAATTTGCAAAGACTTCTTTAAACAATAAAAACAATGTCTGAAACTGTATTTCACTTCTGAATGCTTATTTAAAATGTAAATTTATATATTAGTAAAATTATCTCTCTATATTTTCTTCTGAAAAATTTAAAACGCTAAAATCTTGTGCGGATAAAGTTACAACGCAATTAAATGATCTAGGAGGAAAAAATAGAGGTATTAACATATATTTTTTTTTTTCTGTTAGCCAAGTATCAATGGCAGGAGATGAGGAAATCTAATGTGTAATCCACTGTGTGGTTCCAGATTAAGCACTCTTCTGTTCTGAAGCTGGGAGACTAAGAAGAAACCCGGAGGCAAAGCAATTAGGCAAGGGCATTAGGTACACTCAGGATGAACTGAGCAAGAAGACAGCCACATATTTTTATTCTGAAACTAGGTTTAATACATTTACCTACAAAGCAATCCTGGAAGTAAAGAAGGAGAGGCAGCTGCCTTATCCTCAAGCCCACTAAATGGAGCGGAAAAGGACCGAAGTAGACGCTTGCTTTTTCTGCTACCACTTAGCAAGCTGAACATCATCAAAGAAAGTTAAAATCTACCTCCCAAGACTATATGTCTTCATCATCGCCAGTCATCAAATATAGACAGTGGCATTAGGAATGGCACAAAGTGAGAATTCCAATCGAAGGAAGGCACTCTAACACATCAGTGAAAGCTTTGGGAGAGGAGCTTTGGGAGAGGGGAATCAGAGATGGCTAAGGCTCAATGAGGGAAGAGCCTGCTCTGCAATCATGGGGGCCTGAGTTAAGAGCCCCAGCACACAAAGGAGGCAGCAATGCCCGTTAACCCTAGCACTTGCTGCATGTTGAGCTGGGGGCAGGGTGGAGGGAGACAACGCTCACTGGATGCCAGCCCAGCTGAAACAATGAACTCCAGGATGCCAGAGGGAGACCCAATCTCAGAAAGAAAGATGCTGAATGTTTGAGGAAGACACCTCATGTTAACCTCTGGGTTTTACATGTGCTCACAAGGGTAAACACACATACACACACAAACACGCACACATGCACACGCCCCATTTCGGAAAATATATAAATTTATCCTTGACACTGCTAACATTTGCAGACAGACAGATATCATGAGGCAAAAACACTGGAGTAAATGATGACCTGAATCTTTCTTTTATCATCATTTACTTTACATAAGGTCTTTCTTCAAGGACTTTTGTAGGAATGAGTATATAAACTCACAGACACATTCAGCATGTCCAGATTAGACACTGACACAGATTAACACACAATCACATGAGACACAAATGAGCAGCATTGGCATTTCTGGTTCTGGTTCTCTGGATCTGTCTAAAGTGGAGACAACTCAGAGGTTTTGAAGATACACTTCTACACCTGCGTTATTTGTTCTGGTTCTGGGCCACGTTTCCCATTTCTGTAAATGAAAGCAGGATTCCTGAAAAAGAATTCTCTGCCTCTCATAATTTACAGTACCTAATACTGTGCTTTACGAGTGTGTGCTTGATTAAGTTCTAGATTGATAACCCCGCAGGTGACGGAAACTAAAATTAAAGTTAAAAATCTAAAAGCCAGATTACACAGGAGCCAGTTATATGCTGAAATCCTATTTCTACCCTAGTGTGTTTGATGTTTACTTTATAAATGTACTTATACTAGTACAGAGGCAAAAACGCCTCAAAACTGTTTTATTAATTCCAATATGAGTATTACATTTTAAACACAACTTGTATTGTGTTTATATAGAATTGTATAGTTGTTCAGAAAATGAGGACTGCTTTAGCATTTTCTAAACACATTAACTGGCTTTAAAGTCTAACCCTTATCACAAAGGCTCTCCTATCACAGCCTCATCTCTGCAGGGAGGGGGAGGGGAAAACCACTCACCTCTAATGTGAATGACAGCACCACGTCAGACTTGGACAGCTGGATCTCATTCTCATCTCCTAGGTCCAAAAAGGCAGAGTTCTGTGACCGCTTTAATTTTTGTAATTTAAATTCTGGACCACCTTTGGAAACGGGAAGACTTTCTAAATTGGCCATTAGCAAATTCACGGAGGCCCGCATCTCTTCTATGTACATATTCTCCATGTCTTTCGAGATAAATCTGGGGAATCTTCTTTCCTTAAAAATAATTTAAAAAATAATATTATGCCAGTTCCATTATAGTTACACCAGAAGAGATTACAGGGTCCAATGACTCACCTGTACAGTACTGTGACCTTGTCATATAATGCATCTCCCAACGTCAGCCTGTGGGCTTTAAAAGCCCCAGGTTTTGGCATTCCTGACTATATCTAAAGGTTCCTTTTATATTTTCTATGGAGAATAGTTGTGGTATGAAATGAATACACTGTATATATTCTTTCATATTAGTCATTTTATAAGATGTGCATAGCTGAAAACAGGTATGGCCAAATGGTTTAGTGTATAGATGAATCTTAATTAGCTATCATCTTTGAAGGCAGTGGAGTAATTGGTCTGCAGGAAAATATTCAGGGCACACTGTTGAATGATATTTGATCTCACTGTGAACCCCAAAATTGTGAACTGTAAAATCCCTTTTCTTGTTTGGTATTATTGAGCCTTATCACACACCTTTAATTCAAGAACTTTTTATTGTAAACAGGTGATTTTGGTGTGGTTCAACCAGCCTTAGCATACACCTTTAATCCAAGAGCTTTCTGTACAAAAGATTTAATACAGTTAACTCTAGGTCAAGAGGCAGAGCAAGAAACCAGCTGACAGGGATTTAAAAAGTAGGAGGGATTTCGAGTTGAGGGGTATTTAAAACAGCTTGGAGAAGTAGAAAGAATGTTTGGCTCAAGCTCTGGCTGTAGCTTATGCTTCTGCTCCTCAGCTCCCTGGCATTTTGGGCTTTGAGCTAGCAAGCCTTTGGCCTTTTCCTCTTGGGCTGTCAGTTGTACTACTGAGCCTTTTGGGTTTTTTTCCATTGGGACCTGAGCTGAGGAGGAAGGTCAGTTAGATGCTTTCTCTGCCTCTCTGAACTAGCAGGTTTTCACCCCAGCATCTGGCTCCTGAGTCTTTATTGTTAAAACAGAAGATTGGCAATTTCATTTTTAGAAAACAACAACACCCTACTCTGCTAATCAGAAGGAATAATTTCATCAGCACCACTTTTTACCCTACTCGGACTCTGTTGGGAGGTTATGATCTTTCCACTGAGTGTTCACACCAAAACCCCCTTTTACTAGGGAGAATATGGATATATTTCTAGAATTGCACAATCACACTGAACAAACATGAAAACAAACCTAATGGCTATAATTATAAATATAATAATATAATATATATATATATATAATATATATAAAAGTTTAGAAAAGATTTAATTTGAAGTCAAAGGCAAATTTATGACAGAGATCTGCTAAGCAAAACAGTATTAATCTGGAACTTTCTATTTTATTGCAGGAGTTTTTGTTTTTGTTTTGTTTTGTTTGCAATCATCCATTCAGTTCATATACTTAATTAAAAAACAAAATCCCAGGGCCTGGAGATGTCGCTCAGTAGTTCTGAGTAGTTCAGAGGACCTGGGCTTGGTTCCTGGCACCCACATAGTGCCTCACAACCACCTGTAACTTCAGCTCCAGGGGCTCCAGCTGCCTGCCACTGACCTCCACGGGTAGTCGGCATGTGGTTCACAGACATACATGCAGGCAAAGCACCCACACCCATAAAGTAAAATGAAAAACGTGAAACACAGCATCCACATTTCACCATTTAGAGCTAAATTGTCCTTTGAGAAGGTTCACAAAACTGTGAAAGAGAACATTCTTTTCCCCCTCCTTAGTCTTTGCTAACCTGGCATTTGGCTCTCTTCTCTGTGGAGGGGAGTCTTTGTTACATGAGGTCTAAAGTGATGTCTGTCCCAATGTAAACTAGAGGCTTGAGAATGGAGGCTTAGCATGGGCATGTTTCACATGATTTTTTGAAATCTCCAGAATCATTCAAAGCCTCACTTTTGACAAGTACAACCATAACAACAGCGGAATGCACCCAGCATGCTTCTTAAAAAAAAAAAGCATCTCGCCTCTGACTAACTTGCACCCGGTCATTCACTGCACAACTGATTCCTGGTGGTGGCATCAGCTGTGGAGTTCCGCCCACCTGTTTGCTCTCCTCCAGCTTAACCTTCATATATTCTTAAAATCATGTACATATAATCAATATTAAATAACGTATTTTCACACACCATTAATAAATAATTTTCCCCAAGACCCTTAAGTTGGAAGCCACATCACCAAATTGTAAGTTTGCATACACAGCAGGGCAAATTCTTAGTTTCCTTAGCGGGGGGGAAAAAAAAACAAGGTGACTTAGAATGTTTTTTTCCAAAAAAAGGTAGAAAGGGAAAAAAATCCATGAAACTACAATTGTGTATCTTTTTATGATTTAATTAATTTTATATGTATGACTTCGTCTGGTGTCTGCAGGCACTAGAGAGGGCACTAAAGTATAATAAGAAGTCTGAGCTTACTTCCTGGTTTTGAAAACCCACCTCAGGATTTAAAATTCCACCAATCTCCATCTGGGAAATCTCTCCCCTGGAAAACTGTGCCCTGCCCTCTCAAGTCCAAATAAAGCCCTCCTCCAGCAATGTTCCCTGTGGCTTCTTCCCTGAGCATAGGCAGCCACCCTGTTTTGTCTCTCCCAATAAATCTCTAGTGCGAGGTTTGTTGTGCAGTGTGACTCTGTGGTTTTGCTTGGCTCCGAGACTGCCAGGATCCCTTTCCCTTCAGAGCTGCTACACTGCCACTGGGGAAACTTCCTCTCAGAGCTGTAACCTTATAGCTAGGTTCCCTGAGAACTGAAAGGGGGAGAGTATTGCAAGCTGTCTTATGTGGGTGCGAGAAACTGAACCCAGGTCCTCTGCAAGAGTATCAAGTGCTCTTGACCACTGAGCCATCTCTCCAGTCCCAGATCTATATTTCTGGACAATCTTGAAAAGCTTTCTGGGAGAAAAAAGGTCAGAACTGAGGAAGCAGGATGAGGAGACAGATCTGTTCAAAGTTAGAAGGGGCAATGCCCATCTATAACCACCAGGGGCCCAGTACAGGGTTGTACTTCCTGTTTACTAGGGATTAAGCATTCCAGACAGACAAGTTATAAGATACCTTGCACAATTTTGTCTGGAAAAGATGCAAATATTTGTCTCCAAGATAAAATAGCCCAATGGCTACAATTCAAGTGTAGTTTTAAAATGAACCACTTTTGTAACTATTCCAAGGAAAGTTAAAGAATACCCAAACACCTTGCTTCTCAAATTCTCTCTGGGATATTTTTATTATTCAACTGGTAATGCAGCGAACAACATATCATATTTTCCATTTTTTTATTTGTGAGGAATTTATAATTTCGCCTTTTTAAGTTCTGTCTTCGCAGAGGAGGGAAGAAAGGAAAGTGCTCAGAAGTATCAATTTCTTTTCAAATTCCCAAGATGTTGCTTCATGGAAAACTAGCATTAACACATGAAAAAAAAAAAAAAACTCTCTGTCTACTTAGGTATTCATCATCATCTGCCAGAGAAGAAACTTATAGGCATCTCAAAGCTAAGTTCATTATTTTCAGTTGAAAATAAACTTAACTATTTTCAGTTTTGTGGGAAACTGAGTATATTAGATTTTTATTGATTTTATGAAAAAGCCCTCACAAGTTTCCTTTGAAAGCTTTGGCATTTATGGGTAATGTTCAATCAACTTCATTTAACTTGCTTTTGTGGCCTCTTGGAAACAACAGAGTCGATCATAAGTCAGATCAGCACACATGTTAAATCTGATCTTTTTTGCGAATAGGATTAGAATTATTTTCAAGTTGTTTAACTGTAAATTTTTCTCGGAAATGAAATTCTAGGTTGCCCCACATCTACCAGGCCATTCTAGTGCCTCCAACACGATGACACATGTTGTATCATGAATGTGCACCTTCTGAAAAGGTCTTTATTATTGTTACTCACTGTTTCAGGTGCCCTTGAATTTACTCCTCCATTTTTAGCCACACCCATATCACTGGTGAGTCTCCCCAAGCCGTCAAGTCTTTGCTTTGTCTTCCATAATTACTTGGATTGGGTATCTTTAATCCAAAAATATGAAATGTGCCAAAATCCAAAGCATTTTGAGTACTTTGATGCCACATGTCTAATGTGGGATGAGTATACAGTCAATACCTCACTAAATCCCCTTCAGTCTAGGCAATTAAGGTATGAAGCATAAATGTAATAGATTTTTGTGTTTAAACTAAGGTCCTAATTGCTGAGACTGCGTATACATACACAAACATGTTAAAATATGAAGAATTCCAAATCTGAAATACTTCTGGTCCCAATCACTTTGGACAAGGGATAACCAACCTGTATTAATTTTAGAATTCTACTATTATTTGAACTACTTAGTTCCAAAGGCAATGAAAGTACAAACATATATGTATTTGCAAATTGGGCAAGTTCAATTATCTCTATCATATTGACAGCGCCTCTCCCTTTCCATTTAAATGTGGGAGAAGGCAAGAGTCCTATAAATATGTTAGGAATTTATTCTGCCATGGCTTTCTGCTGATAATGTGTGGTATGTAAAGATTCAGTCATTCAAAAGACATCCATGGGGGCTGTAGAGATGGCTTAGAGATTAACAGCCACTGCTGCTCTTTCAGAGGACAGAGGTTTGATTCCCAGAACCCATATGGCATCTTACAATTGTCCTTCACCCAGTTCCTAGGGATCCAGTGCCCTCTTCTGACCTCCACTGACACCAGGCATGCACGCATGCATACATACACACATGAGGTAATAATAAATACTACAAACAGGACATTCACTTAGTGTCTGGGGTGTCTTCCGCTCCAGCTCATTGGTATAGCACCAAGAAGATAATGAGCAAATATCCTCTCTTGTCATAAACATAAGCCTTAATAACTGTTAATTTAAAATAATTTCTTATTGCAGAAAACATTAAGTATTATGGAGGAAAAGGCAGGAATGAATGGTTCACAATGAGTAGGATTGTCAGGGCTGTTTTCATTGAGGACAAAACTTTACAACATAAAAGTAGATGCGAATGAGGGGATGAACTTTGTGTGTCAAGCTGTTAGTGCATGGTAACCAGCTACTT